GGCCGACCCATGTGGCCCTGGTGCTCCTGATAGGCATGTATGTAGTGTTATTGTATCACTCATATGCTGCTAAATAAAGAAATATATAATTTGTCTCTAGATATAGTTTGGTTTGGTGAAATAATCGCCCCCAACCGCCGCTAACAAGTTAAAGGGTCATATTGTCTGGCATTTTGGATTTTACTATCATCTAATCACCCCACAACATAATGAACGATCTCAAGTGTATTTAGTGAAATGCCGGCCGTTTTGGATGCCATCTTGAATTTCTCAGAACGCTCAAGGGTTACCGAGGTTCACCCGGCACATTCTAAAAGAGGACACCTTAGGCTACTAAAGTCAATCATAAAAAAAACCTTTGTAAACAATTTCCAGGTTCAGTCATAGTTCTGCCATATCAATAGTGTGGTGAATATACTCCATCGGAACTTCACCTTCAGTCATTACCTTCCGCCATTTTCAACCAAAGGTAGATCAGTGTCATTCTGAACATCATTTTGGCCCTGATAATGAATTTTATGAGTGCAAAATTTATTATCAGGGCCAAAATGATGTTCAGAATGACATAATCTTTGAAAAATGCTTTTCCATGTCACGAAAATAGAAGATTTGGGGCGCCATCTTGGATTTCCACCATCTTGGATTCTGACTATCTCATTCAAGATACTGGGAATGGACTCTACATACCTGAAAAGCATAAAATAGACACATTCCAAGCCATACTTGGCCTTTCTAAGTGATCTGTCAAGCTCAAAACGTCTGAAAATCCAGAAAATAGTCGCAATTTTAGAAAAAATGGCCGCTGGCAGCCATTTTTGGCAAGAAAATTCTGAAAATATTACGGTGTAAGTTTGACCCCGAGTGGACTTCGGTGACAGGTAGAAACCTTAGAAATTCCAAAAAAAGTGAAAAGTGAAACACCCTAATGTACAACTAAATCCTAAAATTTGGTTACTTAAACATACATTATGCAAGAGCTAAATCTACCTATTGCAGGTCCTTCTTTAGGCCTGAAATGTTATCTAAATTATTAATTAGACATTAATTAACTTATCCAGACCATAATCAACCCTTGACGTCATCGATAGCCTGCGATGTTATTGGATTAGGTTCCGATTTGCTGTTCGACTTCCATTCATGATTTAATCATGAAATGGATAATCAAGACTATGTTTTTTATCGTACCAACTTAATTAACGATGATCAAGGCTAGGCTGAAAATTCAATTGCTAAAATCTCGGTTCAGAGTGGATCAATTTGACTGAAATTTTCAGCAAATTCCCTTTACATTATCTAGTTTTTAACTATTATAGTTAGAACTGCCAATGTATCTTTAACCCTGTTACGCATGAACAGCAAAATATTGGACATTTTTTTGACTGATATTTCTTTTAAATATTCAACTTTCACAATGTTGTAGTTAATAGTAGAGGTGGGACTTTGTCGATACGTATTGCGACACATTGCGTAAAATATAAATAAATATGAACACAACTTATTTTTGCTTAGAAAGATGAGAGTATTCACATGCTTAGGTTTCAACACAGTTGTGGAAAACACGCCTGGAAACAAGCTGCCAGTTCACAAACTTTTAGCAGTCTGCCACTAATACATGATTGGAATCTTGTTTTTTAACTGTAAGCCTTTCGGTTAATGCTGTTTAATATCATTGAATATGTTGATTAATACATTAAAAATTAATAGTAATATCAAATAAAAAGATAGGTTGCCTGTCAACAAAACATATGCCCACAGCAGCTAAATCGTCCGAGCGGTCGACAAGAGTTGTCGTATATTTATTCTTTTGTAGGTAATTAGGGGGCATTTAATGGACAATTTCATACAGACGACATTATAATATTCGTCGTTGTTGAAATTCGACAGGCTTTTTCGTTTTACTAATTCAAATAATGCATATCAATTTCATACAGATCGGATGATAACTTTTGTCGTTCGAACGTTCACAAGGTTCAACAAAGTAAAACAAAGGCCATAACTCACGGCGTAATTAACGGAAATTGCTGAAATTCAATAGGCTTCTTCGTTTCACTAATTTAAATGATGCATATCAATTTCAAACAGATCAGATGATAACTGTTGTCATGAGAGCATTCACAAGATTCAACAAAGTGAAACAAGGGTCATAACTCTAGATGTAATTAACGGAAATTGCTGAAATTCAATAGGCTTCTTTGTTTTACTAATTTAAATGATGCATATAAATTTCATACAGATCGGATAATAACTTTTGTCATTAGAGAATTCACAAGGTACAACAAAGTGAAACAAGGGCCATAACTCACGGCGTAATTAACGGAAATTTCTGAAATTCAATAGGCTTCGTCGTTTCACTAATTTAAATGATGCATATCAATTTCAAATAGATTGGATGATAACTGTTGTCATTAGAGCGTTCACAAGATTCAACAAAGTGAAACAAGGGCCATAACTCAAGATGTAATTAACGGAAATTGCTGAAATTCAATAGGCTTCTTTGTTTTACTAATTTAAATGATGCATATAAATTTCATACAGATCGGTTGATAATTTTTGTCGTTAGAGCGTTCACAAGGTGCAACAAAGTGAAACAAGGGCCATAACTCCAGAAGAAATTAACTAATGCAAACAACATATATCAATTTCAAAACAATCAGATGATAAATGTAGTCTGTAGAGTGTTCACAAGAAATTGTGGACGACGGACGGACAGACTGACGGACGGATGGGGGCGACGGCAATATACAACCACATTTCCATGTGGGCGTATAAAAAGGTAGGCACATCAACTGTAATCTTTTGCAAAGGAATGTCGAAAGTAATTTCGAAACCTACTTTATTCCTGGTAATCAAAATGTAGGACTAGCTTGATTTGCAAACCTTGTTTCTTCAGAGAAGAACACGACTAGAATATATTTTAAATCTTTGGAGTGACAATTTACATCAGTATCATTTTTGGCCAATTATTTTACAAACCCAAACAGTAAACAAGATAAATATTGAATAAATTGATGATATGTGACTTCTTTCAACTTCACGAGGAAAACAAGTACCAGTGGTTGCAGTTAGTGCTGGGTATTGCCACTGCAGTCACGATACGATACGTATTGCGATTCAGGTGCTACAATACAATCAGCTTCACGATTCATAACCAGATCAATATTTACCAAGAAAACAACTGGATAAATGGATACCGTTAATTGATATTTTTAGTCCTGCCGATTTCGAAGAAATAAAACTGTTTTATAACACGATATTGATGTGGATCAAAATAAGGACCAAAACAATTTAAAGATGTTTGAACCCTTGACAAATTTAAATAAGGAAATTGTCTATTGGCCTTCTGCTGCATTCTGGGGTTAACATATAAATACATCCTTTGATGTTAGCATCACATTTCTACCCCGCTGTATTGAAATTATAATATAGTAATAATAATTACCTGATCAGAAGAAGTAAGAGGAGAAACTGTAGCTAAATAGAGTATTAGTTGATGATGTTCTCCGGGCTTAAACTGATGTCCTTGACCTTGACTATATAACCATTCACCCAATAATCTAAATACCGATTAAAAACAATACTATTATTGATTAAATGAGCACATTTTTGGATGACAATATTTGAAAAGGGCAACCCTGTGTTGGTTAAATTTTGAAACCCATAAGTACAAATTACTGGGGTGGACTTTACATCATGTTTGACACATATTTGTGAACTAAAACAATCAACTGTAGCAAGAGGTACCATATTTTTTCCGGCATACATTATTTAAGTTGATGTGGGCCACATAATGCTGAATTGTCAAATTTTACAATAACCCACTGACAAGCTAAACAAGAAGACCCATTGATATTATAGAGTATAGACATACCAATTTACTGCTTAGAGGTCATACCATTAATTTATCAAAAGTAATCATGGCAGTTGTTAAATATAGAACAAAATTTAATAATAGACCAAGTATTTTCTTGTTTCTTTTGAATCAGTATTTATTTACATATGTTCGATAAATAGCAGATGATAAAACAATCTTTCCATTTTGCACATGGCGACAATACAAAATAATATTATAAATCTTACGAACCGTATAGAACAAGTCTGTTGATTAGATATATTCTCAAAACAAAATTTTTCATCCATATAATAAACTGACTTAATCCAAAAATGAAAATTCAGGAAAAGACATTACACTTACTTTTCCTTTTTTGTGATAATGGAACCATCCAAGATACGTAATGACAGACACCAATTGACTATATATGGTCTATAATCATACAACGTGATGCTAGTTAAAGAAATTTACTAATAATGAGAACGTTTCACTGAAACATTTGATACATACAAAAATCAACAAGATAATCTTTGATACAAATTTCAAAGTACAAAACCATGCAACATTAACCTCAGTAATATATGCGCAGCGACGGTTATTAACCATCCAGACCTAGTCAAAAATCATCCAGTCAGCTTGATTTGTTGAATTGTATGCTTAACACTAGATCGGGCCTTGCTGTTAATTGCAAGTCATATATACAGGTAATCTAGTGCATGATGGGAGATTGACATAATGGGCGTCCTCCTCACTGAAGGAATTCCCACCAGGCATCGCTAGTAAAAACTCGGTTCCATGTGACCTTATCGATGGTAAGAGACCCGTATTGGGATTAAATTCAATATTAACGACCAAAACTAATGTTTGTCAACACACCAGTTCGTAATTAATGTACAGGAAAACAATGCTGTAAGGTAAACAATTAGGTCATGTGGGACCGCCTCACCTATAAATTATGTCTCTTTACCTCTAGCGAGGACGCCCATTGACAAGACAGGGAACATACTAACCAGGATTTGTTTTTCTAATGCTCTGTTCTCATCCCCAGAAAAATAGAAAACAAATGATGAAAGTCTAATTTTTGGGGTACAACACTGGTGATGGTTTGTAATTAATAGCACAAGTCAACTTCAAATAAACTGCTTTAAATTTTTTTTCGTTTTAAAAGGATATAATGATGTTAGAATAACACATGGATTTCTGGCTATTGACAGCTGATCTAAATTTTCTAAACAAGACAGGTAAGAAATCTGAAAGGCAGAAATAAAAATATATAACTATAGTATTCAGGAACACATTTTATTTGACTTTCCATTAGCACATTTTAATTAATGTTTCATTAAATTAATGCAATCTACGACAAACGTCTATTGAAATTATTGTGATATATTCTACACTGGGTTAAGGCACACATAAATTCAGTTTAAATTTATAATTTGTTACAAACACCAATAAATCATACAATAATCTCAGTTTCAAAAATATTAAAGCAAGATTTCCTATAAGTATTTCTACAACATGACACTCATGGCTCGATCTCAGTTTGGGCTGAGAAAGTTTCTTTGGGCTGAGAAAGTTTCTTCAGGCTGAGAAAGTTTCTTCAGTTTTTCATCCCATCCGAACGACTAGACAGCCGACAAGGGGGAACCACGCCAGAAAATCTGGATGAATTTTCTCGGCCAATGCAGGGATCGAACAACCAGCCTGCAGGCTAGCGAGCTAGCGTCTTACCCATTTAGCGCCTGGCAAGGAACAGTGTCTGGTCATTAGGATGGGATGAAAAACTGAGGTCCTGTGTACACGTTGGCATGCATGTAAAATAAAAAATCCTTGCAGTTAGAATTTGAAATAACAGTAGGCCAGAGCACTGGTGTCCAGGAAGAATTTTCATCATAGCACACTGCATAGCGTATGTCTTGTCTTCATCAGCCTGGTTCGTGCAGAAAAAGTATGACATTAAACCCCATTTCATTTCATTTTCAATTTGTCACTCAAAAAGTACTTACCTCATTTAAATCTTGAATTTCATTGGATTCTAATGAAAGAACACTAAGTTGTCTAGGTAAAAAACTTGGTACTGTTTTTAAAGAACTGATCGTATTGCCATGCAATAACAGAGTCTGTAATAATTCAAAATGCACACAATTATCATATGCTATAATAATATTTAATCAAATCTACAAAGAAGCAAAGAACATTATTTGGTCTGATTTTATCATTTGATTTGGTGTTAGCAATTAGAAAAGTAACTCACAATGTTCACTGATATGGAAGTATTCTGAAAAGATCGTATGATTTTGTGATACCTTTTCCTAAGGGATATTTTTTGCTAATTCCAATTTCTAAGTGATGTATTTTGCTAATTAAAACTCGTGAACACACAAAAAATAAAGGTGTGCTATTGTTTACCTGTAGATGTGTCAAGGGAGATAAATCTGTTATACAAGCTATACTGTTATCGGACAGATCAACATGATGAAGTTGAGTATTTTTACATAGTGGAGAAAAATTCTGAAACATAATAACAAATAAGTTATAATAAATTCCTACACATTTTCAATGTAAAATCCGAGCACAAGATAGTTCAGGATTGACCTTATTTCAACAGGTCATGTTTACCTTATAGTATATGCAACTCACATATCTTGTTTGTGAGTTGTCTTGGAGATGGTCTGTCAAATTTCAAAGTGCACACACAAGGTTATTTCATACAGCTTATTTTTGCCTCAGCCATATTTCAAACTATTCATGTATTTATTAACTAATTCAGGAGATCGTTCTGAAATTCAATTACAAGGAAACCAGATGCTATGTGTACAAGTGCCAGTGATCATGTAATGGCCAAGTGAAATTCCACTGCAGATTAGTTTGAATAGATACATTTTGCGACCATTATCAATATGTATACCACGCTGATTTCTATAATAAGCCTAAATTACTGGTACTGTTTACAACCCTTTGTATTATGTTTTGATCAAATTTCAGTTAATAGTCCAATTTCCACTTTGCTTACATATTAAAATATCAAAATTGTTAAATATACCAATTAATGATTCATTTCAATATCTCGACGAGAGGGAATGAAATGGATATGAAATAGTTTTCTGGGACCCCTTGACCGAAAGTGTTGATTATTATTGATTGATAAATTCAACAGAAATAACAATGCGGTTCTAATGAAGAACCCTCACATTAGAGCTGGGCGATATTTCGGTTTTTCAATATAAAACTGTTACAGAAATACCGTCTTCAGAAAAATATCCCCCCCCCCCCAAAAAAAAACCAAACATACCACGTATATTTTATTACTTAATGAATAAAAACTCCATGAAGTTTGCAAACGCTGTTAAATGTGAGCGTTGTTTTCGTTAATTGACTTCTCACTCACTTTTCCACCCGACCGATACCGTAAGAATTATCCTTGCTTCTTTTAAATGCATCTTGATGAATTGTTTATATAGATACTTTTGATTTTCCAAAGGAGTCATTTCTGATTAAAATAAATTTTAATAAAGCAGAAATATAAATAATGCCAACTATATAGAAAGTACAGGTAAACTGATTATCATGGCGGTCCGTGATCTGAAAAATCGCTATTTGACTAAACCAATGGATACTTTTTGACATAGTACATATAGTTTAATTTAGTATTCTTGTATTGTAAAATGCATTTTCAAAGATAAACTTGAATGAGAAAACACGAGTTTGCAAGGTTAAATGAATAGCACCTAATCGTACCAGTGGCTATATATATATAAAAAAAACATGCACGGCCAAACACAAATTTTTTATTATGCTTTTTATACTTTTTTTGTGCCTCCTTCATATGTAAATATTCTTAATTTAAATAAAATTATTAATATTTTGGAAATTAAAATTTGTAATTTACAACAACAACATGGACCAACATTTTTTAGCAAGTCTTCATGGCTATGAGATCTATGTTTGAACCAGCTCATTAAATTTTGTTTGTAAGTTGTCAAGTGAATACTCCTAGGGTATTTCCAACTTTTTATGCATTTTTTTTATTCACATTGAATTATTGACATTTTATAAAAATGGTCGTTTTTACAGAACAGAACAGAAGAATGTCTTGTGCAAACCATTTTATCTTACTTACCTTGATACTATTCCCAGATAAATCTAACCAGGATAACTCTGGTAATTCTTCTAAGCCTGCAATAAATATATTTAATGCAATGAATATCTACATATGTTATGCACTTTTGACTTAGCTAAATCAATGGTAGATAATTTACCCGGCTAGAATCCAATCCGATTAAAAAGATGTGCAATGAAAGATTTAACACAATACTTCATACTTGTAGGTGGTGCAGGTGCTAGCTTGTTATTATTGTCATCCTGCAGTTACATATCTAATTGACCACAAGAAACATCAGATGTGTATTTCTAACATTAATCAAATGACAATTCCCACATGTAAACTTACATGACATAATTGCACCATTACAAATAAATAATATAAATTTGTCAATTCTATTTACCTTCAATGTTTACAATACTATTAGTGGCTAAATTCAAAACATTTAAATGTTTCAGCACTGATATACCATTCATACGAACAATGTGATTACATGCTAAAGATACCTACAATAAAAGATTTATAGTTACCACAACAATAAAATTGATGCAATATACATTACTTTGTTGAGTTTCAGTTTGAGCTTATTCTAACAAAGATTTTAACATAATGGTAACTTACACATTTTTAAAATCTGTTTTGAATTCATCATCTCACTCTCAGCTTCAACAGACTAATCATCTTACCAGTAATTTTTAAAAATCACTATATAGGCACTATATTATTAAGTATGTAACTTAATAATAGTTTGAGTCAAGGTCATGTTCTACTTATTTAAAATTCAAATACACGTAATAAAATTAAAGGTTGCACTAAGAATCATAAACGTAAATACATATGCATATGTCATGTACCTGTTTTAGACATGGATGATTATCTAAATTTTCTATTTTTGCTATATCATTCCTATCACATATTAAACCAGTAGGTTGTACATTATTTGGTATTTCAACTATTTTTAATCCTTTTGCTGTAAAATCTAATACCAGACTATTTGAATCTGAAATAAATATATTAAAATATCTACTTCAATAAAACATGCAAACAATAAGCTTATATTTCATTTTTCATAAATAAAAATCTCCACAGCTTGACAGAAGTACATGTAAGCTATACGAAGGGGTGGGACAACAGTCACAAGAGTACTTTGACGGTAGCTGAAACCTGGAACTATATTTTTCTGATGCAGTTGAATATCAAAATAGTACCATTTTCTACTTTCAGGATGTGATATTGAACCCTTTGTGGGACAAGCAGTCACAAACAGACTGTCATCGGAATCAGATTTTTATGGAGTACTTTAGTCTTGGACTGGGTCAGTGGCCCTCCCCTGGGGCTGGAGCTTGGGTAGCACGACATTTCGGTCATGCGTCATTTCAGACTCAACACAGGCAACCTTTCGAACTCAGTTTGATGACGGTTCGGACTTACTTGGCGACTTTTCGGGCTCGGTCTGGCGTCGTTTCGGACATGGCTGAATAATTAAAAGACTTTTGAAAATTTGTGTGATATATTTGTAACAGCTGGGGGGGGGGGGTGGGAGGGAGGGTGGTGGGGGGGGGGGGGAGGCTTCCTCGTGGTGTACTTGAGTAATGAAAGCGGTAAATTTTACCTCAATACCTGCATGTTTTTATAAAATCACTTTTGGCTTATTATAATTTGATTTGACAGTTGTGTTCAACCTTTCCTTTCAACTTATTCCTGAGTCCGAAATGTCAACTACCCGAGTTCAAAATGTCACCTGCCCGAGCCAGAAACGTTGAGGCCATTATTTTTTTAGTTCGAAACGTCGAGGCCATATTTTTTTGAGTCTTGAAAGAAACTAAGTCTAGCCCTAACACACTTTCAAGAACATTTCAATTAATTAAATAAAACGATTCAATGTTGTGTCGTGTAGCGTGTCAATGGACGTTGGCCTAGATCTATTAAGACCAGCCTACTCTTTTTTTTAAAAATTCAAATTTTTGTTGACATTGACGACTGGACTGTTTCGGTGAGTTCTATATTAATGTCTATTCAATCATATTTTTTTTTATTCGACCATTTAACATTTAATTAAACAAAGGTTGATATGGTGCAGTGATAAACTGTAGATAAATGAAGCCTGGATAATATCAAATTTATCTCCCCAAAACAACAAATCGTTGTTTACCTTCTTCGCAGTCCGCCATTTTGTCATTCCCGCGAACAGTTTCGATGAAAATCTTGATAAATATTAGAATTTTTTTTTTATAATTTTAAGGTATATTGTTGATGGATCTGATAAACTTAAAATACAATTGCTGTAAAATGAACTATTATTCTAAACGATTAATTATTTTATTACCGGAAGTACGTTCATTTTTCTGCGGTAATAGAATTGTCTTTTTATCCGGTTTTCAACATGAAGTGAGTTTGTTATGAAATGAATTCCTATCAAATCCCTTTCCATCTCAATCACTTCTTCTCTTTTATAATTTTTTCTCGTGAACCAATAAAGTTTAATATATATTATATCTTTGTAGGATCGAATTGTGCTCCTACAGTGGTCTCAAAATCTACCCTGGCCACGGGAAACGAGTGGTCTTGAAAGATGGAAAGGTAGGTATTGTATTGTACAAAAAGCATTTCTGACATGAGTGTGTTACAGTAGCCTTGATGATAAATTATCATACTCTCTTCATAGAGGGTAAAGCTCTAAAACAGTAAGATAGGCTACAGAACCTTTGACTAAAATTATTGCTCCATTTCAATCAATTTGAATAGTAAAAGTAAGGTTATGAATCTTACCCGTTGTTACTGTGGCGTGATAAATGAATGGAAGTCAAGTCTTGAAGTCAACTCGTCCACCTGCCATTGATGGAGATGCCCTGTCACGAACAGGATAATTGCAGAGAGGTTGTCAAGAACTTGTGACAGAAGAATTTCCACAAATCTATTCTTGGTGTGATCAAACTCAGTTCCCACTTGTCATGGGTAGTACTACTTTAAACTTTTAGTTCAGCCCTGAAGTAAGTCCTGTAAACAGTACACTGACTCGCACTGTAGGCCTATGTTCAGGAACAGAATTGGCACCTTGTCTAAACTTTTTGACTCCCCAGTAAATGTTAATGGTCAACTGTTTGCTTCTAATCCGTGGTGTGTCAGTCCCTGTGAACGCCTGTACAATGTAAAGGAACATTTTATTGTAGTGGGAAAAAAAAGACACTGTTGAAAATATGTCCCCCTTCTGCTGAGTAACTTGAAGTTGAACGCCGGGTAAGGGTGTGACGACTAAGCAAAACTTGAACCGGTTAGTCGGCGGCTAAAAAAACCGAACCGATTCGGTTTAGTCAGTAATGAAAACTAACTGAAAAATATCAGTCTTCCATAGTCTACAATACGCGCTAATATACTGGCCTTTATTGAGCTTAAAACTGTAATGGCGACATACATACAGTTCTATGTTTTATGTGTCCAGTACATTAAAAAATTCGGTTTTGTTTGTACTATGTAGTTTGTTCAAATCTCCTGTTTAACCTTTTTAATAAAAGTAATAAATACAACATACATGTATAAAAAACTTCAAACAATGACATATTGATCAATAATAATAGTGATAAACCGACGAGAAAGCGTATCTGGGCATCAGCTCAGTGCGCATGCCTATTGACCTAACCTGGAGGATTGCTTGTTTCTGATTGGGCACTTCAACCATTGACCTTAGCGACCGACCAATCAAATAACGTATTCTTAAAATAACTTCATTAGGTATGCTAAAACACACTCGCTTGTAATCGCGAGAATATCCACGACCGATTACCGAATATAGTATATACTGTCTTGTTATTATTGTCGACCATTTATCAATGATGTAGCTTATTGCTTATTCGCCCCCATAATTGTCGATCGTTAATACATGTATCTTTTTAAAAAAAAAACCATGTTATTATATTCGGGCGACTGGTTTATATCATGCTGTATTTTTTAGACGACTATCGATTTCCCGAAACTTGAACCGGTTTGTAGGTAAAACCGAACCGACTCCGACTAAACCGACTAATCATCACACCCTTAACGCCGGGGAGACATTCCTCACGGGGTCAATCACTTTGAATTGCACATGACGTCAGAATTTTTGGGCCTAACATTAACACTCGGTGCGCGTCAGTGTCGCTAAAAATAAACCATCTTTTTTATCAACGCGAGATTTCATCAATTCACTATGGCTGGTGTTGTGAGGAATGTCTCCCTTGTGCAAAATTTAGTAACTTGATGGCTTCCATTATTATAGTCTAAATATTGGACAAGGCACAACATTAGCTATACAATTTCGGTCAGGGGGAAAAAATTGGGATCTTTGAAAAAATTAGAATCTTTAGTCTTTTATGGCCTTTCCTACCACAGATAGATTCTATTTCAAGTAGGAGTTTCAGGTCAAAGATTTAATTGACAGAAAAAAATTTTTAAAAATATATTGTGAAAGTATAGTTATCTATCGTGTTATTGGCTCTATGGTTGAATCCCCAGAACACTAAGGTGCGGATTCACCAATGAAGTGGGTCATTGCAATTCGAGTTGATGGAAAATCTTGGGTGGCGTGACTAGTTTCTAGATGATGTTAACTGACATCAAGGAGATTAAAATGTCCGACAAAGGAGAAATCCCAAGTTAATCATGTAGATTAAGATTATAACCACTCTTGTTGGATTGATACATAGTCCGACAAAGGAGAAGCAATGACTTTCGTTCAGGATTGGATTGATAAATTGTCCAACAAAGGATTCAGTCAATCAAGGCTGAATAAGTAGTTAATCAAGGTAGGTGTATAGACAGTATCACACGGTAAATACATTATCGTAACTAATCAATCTAGCCTATTATCAGCGATAATTGGGTTGAGTGGTAGATATACATTCAATACACAAATATTAATTTTGTAATTTTGAATATTATTCACCATGTCTTGAAGTTCCGGTTGGGCATATTTCTGGTCGGATAATTTACGACGTTTTGAAAATAGTGTCAGACATGTCCGGAATATACAGGCAAAATCCTATCACTGGCGTGACATCATCAGAGCGGTATTTTCCCAGCGAGCGTCTCCTGTACATAAACAGTAATTTCGTTTACATTTCGATAATTTTTGAGCCTGAATCTTTAGTTAGTGAGATTGAAATTAAAGGGGAATTATGGAAGATTAATGAGTGGTCAGTTCTCACTATAATAGTTAAAACACTAGATAATGTAAAGGGAATATGCTAAAAATTTCAAATTGCTCCACCCTGAACTGAAATATTAGTGCTTGAATTTTAGGCTAAGCCTCGAACATTATTACTAAAGTTGGTTTGATAAAAAACATTGTCTCGATTATCCATTTTTGGATTAAATCATCAATGACTTCAACCCATAATCTGACACATAAGATGGCATCGAAAGTTGATTAAGGTCTTTTTATGTTTGTAAATGTCTAATAGTTTATATAACCTTTCAGGCCCATAGACCTGCAATAGGTATATTTAGCTCTTGCATAATGTATGTTTAAAGTATTACAATACAATTACTAGTAATACTTTTAAATAAAATAGTAATTCAAAATCGTAGATTGAAGTTGGCTATATTTCAAGAGATATTTAAAAATGAAATGAAATGGGGTTCCAAGGTACTGTTCTGCTGCGACTGGGTAATCAAGACGGTAGAGATGTTTAAAACATTTCTACTTTCCGTCAACGTAATGTATGAGGTTTATATCTTAATACAGCTGTCACTTCAGAAAAATCACTTAATTTTATAAATATATTAATTTCATCTTGCTTTTCAGGTATTCAACTTTCTGAATTCCAAATGTTGTGCATCACATTTCATGAAAAGAAACCCTCGAGAAATCAGATGGACTGTATTATACAGACGAAAGTATAAGAAAGGAAATTTGGAAACAGTTGCAAAAAAGCGTAATAGAAAGACTGTTAAACATGAGAGAGGCATTGCTGGAGCTACACTTCAAGATATTCTTGCAAAGAGAAATCAAACTCCAGAGGTGCGAGCTGCCCAGCGAGAGCAAGCTATTAGGTTGGTTCCATTGTTTTATGATCCCTTATAATTTGGAGAGCAAGTAGTGAAAAATGACTTCTTCGTTGTCTGTCCAACTTTTTAGAACACAAGAATTTTTCGACTGAGGTAGAATGACCAAAATTAATTTAGGTCACGTATGTGCTTAGCCGAGGTTAAGCAATTTGATTTGCTGATGCTTTAAGTAATTTGATTTGCTGATGCTTTGAGACTCAATAACATTGATTCTAATTGAGTGAGTTATTGTCGGTCAATGCTTACAGAAATGATTGCTATTCTATGTAATATTTCGGATGACTAATATTTCCTCATACATTCCCAGCAAAATGTCATACATTGCTGTCTCCTTTGTCAATTGTCTGCAATTGCTTGTTGAACTAACATCCAATCAAAGTTGAATTATTTCATCAGTTCTTAATCTTGATCAGTATTTGTCTTGTAAAGACGTTAATAACCTTTAAATGAATGAATATGCGAAAAGCTTTGTAAACTGCTTGAATGACGTGGTCGTGTAGGTACATGTATGTTTCTTTTTCTGACCACCAGTCTTGGTAGTATATTATCAAAATGTGTTTGTGTGGTATATTCTGATTAGTGATGGTCGAATAATCGATTTCAACATCGGTAATTGGTCGATAAGTGAAGAAATCAGTATCGATCTATATTGAGCCATTTTCCCCGGTACTGGAATTGCCAATATCTGTTCAAAAGGACTCAGTAAATAACTCTAAAATATTGAGTTGTGAACAATTAAATGATCAATTTGCTTGATACTCTGTAGACATAATACAAGACTCTCACGGGGGGCCGTAAGAGAAAATAATAAACAGTGTAAAATCCTTACCGGTCTACATTGTTTTAATGCTTACTCACATATTGTTTGAGAGTTGTTTGTCTCGATGCGTTTTAAGAATACATGCAACAGTCCACCCGATACAACATTTGACTTTAATATGGAATAAGCCAATTCATGATTAAAAAGATAGAATCAGAGAACGCAGCAGTACATCGCAGAGGCCTCTTTTCGATCTCATTTCAATGCGTGCTGAATCACTGTCCTTAAACGGCATGGTTTGCAAATCGCATGTCTTCAACACTCTGTATGAATTCCCTGTACCAGTAGATATTAAAATAACTAGATCATACATAG